GAGGGAAATTCTTAGGAATCCACCTTGATAATAGACTCAAATTTCATACCATATACAACAAATTTCTAAGAAAATTTCCAAGACTGTAGGATACTATCGAAGATACGGTACTATGCTCCACAGTCAGCCCTCCTGGCCCTATATCACTCTCTTATTTACCCCTATCTCACCTATGGAATTTGTGCATGGGCTCAACAACAAATAACCATCTCAGACCACTAAAATTACCCCAAAAAAAGGGTGCAGTTAGAATGTAACAAATTCTCACTACAGGCAGCACACTCCACCAATATTCAATCACTCAACCTACTCACCATACAAAACATCCATACTTATTACTGCACCTATTACATTTCTAGAACACTCAAATCTGATATTAACCTCCCCCTCAAACATCTCCTTGCCAACCTCAACAGAACACATGACCATAACACAAGGCACAGATCACTCTTTGATATTCCCCGTGTCCATCTCACGCTATGCAAAAAAACTCAATGCACATGAAAGGCCTAAAATCTGGAATTCATTACCCGTAAATATAAAAGAAACACTACCTGTTTATAAAATTCAAGTCTCTTCTCAAAGATCACTTACTCACCCAAAACCAAATAAATACTGAATAACTGAAACCTTATAAATTGTATATCTTAAATGTTTCTCACAATTATATCACATAAATGTTAAACCTAAACCCAATTAACTTTTTTATTTTTAAATAACTACCTAACAGAATACTCCATTTCTTTCTGATTTTTCAACATGCATGCAACATTTGACCTGTCTTTGTAATACTCACTTGAGCTTTATGTTATCAGTTTACATTAATGTTTTTTTACTGATTTCATCTTGCTTATTTTAATTAAGTAATTTTAAGCCAGCCCGTAATGCTATGCATGTATAAAGTGGCTTTTGGCATGTGCTCTTCTGTATTTTTTGTACCTCTGTAAGTGTGCTTAAATTATAAATTAAATAAATAAATAAATTTTAAATAAATAAATCCCTAAAATAGGTATTACGGTAAACTCTCAAAAAATTGCACCTCAAGAGGAAATACCCTAAGGATCCAATGGAAAAAAGTCACTTTGACTTTTTTGGGTTATCCTAAGGTTAAATTACAACAACAAAACAAACAACAACAACAAAACAACATAATAATAATAATAATAATAATAATAATAATAATAATAATAATAATAATAATAATATCTTTATTTCTACAAGTACATGTACAAGATATACAGTCCTAGCTGACATCGATGATACACTGCTATATAGAAATCCGCTTGTTATTCAGAACATTTCGGGCAAATCAGGTCAGTTTTGTCCCGAGATGCGACCCACACCAGTCGACTAACTCCCACGTACCCATTTTTAATGAGGGGTGAATATGGACAACCGCTGTAAGGAAACACTCCCGATGTTCCTACCCTAATCGGGAATCGAACCTGGATCCTCAGAGTGTGAAGCGAGAACTTTTCCCACCAGGCCATCTAAATAAACTTACTCTTAGTGCATACATCCATATTACGGGTGTCTCCGTCCTGTGACTAATAATTCAGCGGAGTGGATCATCATGGTGACTAAGATTCACGTGAGGAGAAATTTTCCTAGTTCTACTGACAAAAAAAATATGGTTCCACCAGATGTATTACTGGTAGTATACAGTGGCCTCAACCAGCTATGCCAGAGACCCATTACTCTCACCTCTACTACTCCCGTCTCCACCCTAGCATACATCGCAGGATATATACACCAAGAGGTACATTTCTCAAAGCCCATATATGCAAACGTTAGGGACGTTTAGGGATTAAAGTATTCATATCTGGTAGTGGAAAGGTAATGCGCAGCTTTAATAACCTTAGTGTAGTAGATAGATTTTAAACCCCATTAGCTGACCTATCTAGAATACGAAAGGTTAGTATATAAGAGATGTGTCACTGCTAGAGTAAGGCTAGGCTAAAAGTAACTACCGTAGTATAGTTTGTCTGGAGATGTCAGTGACATGCAATGTAAAATGTATAGAAAAATAGATATAAATAAGACATGTGTAACGGCTGGGTATCTTTATTACAAAAAAAAAATTGTTAGGTATTTTATACCATTTTAATGTTCAAAAAAAAAATTCTCTATCCAGTGCCTTTTTAAATTCAATACTGATATCACGAACTTGAAAATTTTCCAATAAGGCTGAGGGACTTATTACCTCATCTTCCACTGTCTCCAGTTCATAATCTCTAGAGTACTGAATTGAGAAAGCCAGTGGATGGCGAAACGTCTTCATAATTAAGATATCCAGGTGTTGTACATGCTTCTTATTTATCTAGTTGTTTGTAACATATACCGGTAATATATTGTGTGAAGAAAGACAGAACCATACACTGTAGATGAATGGTTCAGAGAACCGACAAGCTGATAAATTAGAAACATATGCAACACTTGAGTATCTTTAATGAGGAAACGTTTCGCCACACAGTGGCTTCATCAGTCCATACAAAGGAAAATGGTGAAGAACAAATAATCAGTCCCTCAGCCTTGAGTCGATGTGGTCAGTCCATCAATCTTGAAAAGTATTACAGCATATGTGCGGAGAAGTAGCTCATATACTGTAGGCAGAAGAGGTGCAACAGTCGTAGGTGGTATCACATTTGTCCAATGTGGAAGTAGGTCATGCCCAAGGGTTAGGCAAATGAAGAATTCCCTGTATTAAGATCCCAAGATTTTGCTGTGTCAGACACTCAAACATCATATCTCACTGGCCAAATATTCAGCCATTTAGACACTTCCCAGAAAACCCTTCATTGTTACTATCTGAAATCTTCAAATTATATCCACATTCTGCACTGGCTAGATGAATGAACTGATATTTGCTAAGATTGTAACCCAACCATGACCAACATTTTTAAGTGGTACGTAATAAGATACTTGAATTTTATCGAGACTACAGCTCCATATTGTGGACACAAGTGGTATAAAATAACGACACGATGCATAGACACAAATACGTATAGTGTTTCGCTTGTGACTTGATGAAACCCACTATGTGCGAAACGTGTTAATAAAGGATCGCGTTACACTGCATATGTCTTTATCCAGCTCTGTATTGTACTGTGTAAATTAACTATGTGAAGTAATTGTAAAATATATGAAACGAATGTAAGATAATTGCCAGGTGGGACCTGTATTTTTTTTTTTTGGGGGGGGGGGGGTATCTATCTTTCTTCTCCTCCAGGACAGGTGCAGGTTGCTCAGAGGTCTCGCTCACAGGATGAACACGAAGCTGACAATAAATTATCCGTTCAAGCGACACAACTAAGAAATTAACATCTGCACACAGAAATCACTCCCTACGAAAGTAAAAGACTGGGCAGGCGATGCAAAATGCCCCCAATTAAAAGTAGGGGCGCCATTGGTACACTAAGAGAAAACACCATAAGTGTCCGGGGCCCAAGACTGTTCAACAGCCTCCCATCAAGCATTAGGGGAATTACCAATAAACCCCTGGCTGCCTTCAAGAGAGAGCTGGACAGATACCTAAAGTCAGTGCCGGATCAGTCGGGCTGTGGCTCGTACATTGGACTGCGTGCGGCCAGGAGTAACAGCCTGGTTAATCAGGCCCTGATTCACCGGGAGGCCTGTTGATGGACCGGGCCGCGGGGGCGTTGATCCCCGGAATAACCTCCAGGTACGTTGTCCAGGTATATGACTCATACCCTATGACTCATGCGCTAAACTCGCATGAGTCATGTAACGTAGAGGTGACCTAACTTAAAAGTTGATGGTAGATATATAAGAAAGATGACGCCCATACGTTTCGCCCAGCATGGGTTTCGAACCTGAGTGTATCCGGTGGTGAGCCCCTAACATTGAGTACGTGACTAATGGCATTTTTAAAACTGAAACTACAAGTGCGAACCTACACAGAAAATGAGTGCTTATTTTAAAAGAAAATATAATATCAGAGAAAGAATTTCAGTTTGTTGTTGTACCGTCACAACATCCGCTTTGATTAGATAGTCTTCGATATCGGTCCTAAAACTTTTCGGAATACTGCATTCTTTAATTTGCCCAGAAATCATTTTCGAGGGGGGCCTTAAACCAGAATTTCAATCTGGGGGGGGATTTTGAAAGTCGTAAGATGCTAAAACAAAAAATCTTTTTTAAAATATGATTTAATGTAGTTACGTGAAATTTCTTAAATTATCGTGCTTTTGTGGTCACTGATCAGTAAAATAGTGAAAATTGGCCATTAGTTGAAAAACAATAAGAAATATTTGTCTCAGGGGAGCTTTAGCCCCTGTGCCCCCTTAACCTCCCCTCCCCCTCCCCCACTAGCATATATTTAAATTTTTAAATTAGACTGATAATCACAGGTTTAAGGATGTATTAAGTAATTTTATTTAGGTACAGGTACACATAAGTATAATTTTCACACACTGTAAATTACCAAGGATATCCAAAAGTCAGACACAAAACTATATAGTACTTCGTTATTACTGATTTAATCGAGTTTATGGAAGGAAGACGTGGAAGGATGCGTGTGCGTGCTCACACAACTACGCTACCAAGTGAATAATTTAGTAACAAAGTTGAAGATAATTTTAGAGAAAAAGCTGGCAGTTTAAGAGTCTGTTATATTTTTTCCGTTTTATCCTCAAATGGGTTACTTATAGTAACACTTCCATTACTTGACACACTCACGTAGTTACGCGAACCATACATAAAAACAACAAAGATGGCAGCACCGATTGGAAGGAAAAACATTTTGTCTCTGAACTCTCCATCACTCCTCATCCCCAACCATATCCCTCGTCCCACCACCGCCCCCTCCGTCATCCCTCCCCTCATCCCTTATCACTACTTCCTCCTTCACCCTCCATCCCCCACGATCCTCCCACCTGTCTCCCTCTCTCCCCCTCCTTTACTACATACTTATCCCGCCACCACACTCCCCACATTTTTTTCCCTCCAGCTCTCAACCCCGCTCCTCACCACTCCCTCCTGTCGTGCCTCCACCACTACCCCAGAGTAATAACCACTACATGATGCACCCCTCACCCACTCCCCTGACTAGCAGGCAGCAGCAGTGTTGTGGCTGGCGGGGTGAGGCTAGGGTTGTAGTCGTCACCCTCGCCATCACATGAAACTCCTGTTGTCCAACATTATTTTGTGTGACACTGAAACATGTAACCAGTGCCCCGTTTTGAAAATTATATATAAAGTCTCCAGTTTTGAAACACATGGAGAGCTTATGTAGGCTGCCCTTAATTAATACATGCCTATTCTCATTGTGAGATTTTAAATCTAAATTAAATCAGTGAGAGCGAGGTATCGTCTGTTTTTTTCATGATCATTTTTTTTTTAAACATAACAGGTCCGTAATCGAATGAATTTCAAAATTCTTTCCCATATTTCATGTTCTTACAATTATGGTTTAGCAGATGACCTCAAGGTTTGCCAGTGAAGGTGAAGGTATTCTTTGTGAGTACGTGTGACCTTTGTCATGAGTGAGGAAGAATGTGAGGAGCAGCCACTGATGGTGGACAGTGCCACTAACATTGTTACCACCACCACCACCACCAGTCCTTCATGTTGTGATAAAGTGGCAAGCTTTCTGTCCGCCATCACCATAGAGCCCGCCGTCTTCCTCTATGTCATTGGCTTTGGTTTAGATGTCGTCTTCATAAAAAACTTGTGGGTGGACAAGACGTGTCTCTTTTACTTCAATTTCAGCACAGAAATATGTTCCAATTTGAACAGCGGCAGATTCCCAGCAGAACAGGACATGGTACAGCGTCAGGTGACTCGCTATAATGTGTACTGTGCTGTGATACAGCACGTGCCTGCTGTAGTGGTGGTAATGGTGTTGGGCGCCTGGAGTGACCTGCGGGACCGCCGCCTGCCCATACTGGTGCCCATGCTGGGTTACTTCCTTATGGCGCTGGGTCTTACAGCCAACGCCTACTGGTGGCCACTACAGCCGGAATTTCTTCTGATATGCTTCGTGCCAGTTGGTCTCACGGGAGCAACTACAGCGATTTATATGAGCGTCTCGGCTTACATTAGTGCAGACACAGATGCCAGGGCGCGGACCACACGTATATCTGTAGTGATGGTACTAGTACCAGTAGCTTCCACACTCGGCAGAGGTCTGGCACTCGTGCTGTTCAACCACAGCGGTTATGGTTACCTGGCTGTGTTTGGCACACAATCAGTGCTATGTGTGGTTGCCATCCTGTACGTACTGGTGCGGCTGAAGAAACTCCCTGGCGCTATCGCCATGGAGACGCCTGCCTCTGAGACTTCGGGAGTCCTGGAAGTACTGACTCCAGCTCGCCTGAAGAAGACGATGATGGTAGCCTGCAGAAGACGAGACAACGGTGTGAGAAGACACATCTTCGCTCACATCGCAGTCATCTGGCTTCTTGTGTTCACTGCTGGTAAGATAACTTGGCCTTTAATATGGGTGCTATAATTTATTGCACAGTTCAAGAAATATATCGAAGAAACGTTTCTCCAGGAGTGGCCTTTTCATTCACAATACAAAGAAGTCACTTGTGGCGAAACGTTTCCTCAGTATCTTGAACTTTGTATATGTATTTTTAGCTATATACTGTCGGTATATTGATAAACATATTCACCTATTTCGTCAACAAATAATGAAAGGCAAAGTACCATGCGTGGAATATTTCACAAATAACCCAGAAAATTAACGACAAACGTTTAGATTACTTTTATATATTACCGCCTGAGCGGCTAATTTATTGTGCGTGCACTGCAGGCTGTAGCTCACCGTGAGTGGCTAGTTAACTGCGCACTGCAGGCCACTGCTCCTGTGAGTGCTAGTTAACTGCGCACTGCAGGCCACTGCTCCTGTGAGTGGCTAGTTAACTGCGGACTGCAGGCCACTGCTCCTGTGAGTGGCAAGTTAACTGCGCACTGCAGGCCATTGCTCATCCTGTGAGTGGCTAGTTAACTGCACACAGCAGACCGCCGCTCATTCTGTGAGCGGTAGTGCCAAAAGAACAGGATTACAGTGGTCACAATGGGTCTTATGTGATCCCACTGGGTATAGTTACATCTTGAAAAATATTAAACTTTCTATATTTCACTTTTTTTTCTATATTTCACTTTTACGGTGAAAAGCTCTGTTCCACAAGGCACAGTACTCGCTCCCATCTTGTTCCTCATCCTTATATCCGACATAGACAAGGATGTCAGCCACAGCACCGTGTCTTCCTTTGCAGATGACACCCGAATCTGCATGACAGTGTCTTCCATTGCAGACACTGCAAAGCTCCAGGCAGACATCAACCAAATCTTTCAGTGGGCTGCAGAAAACAATATGAAGTTCAACGATGAGAAATTTCAATTACTCAGATATGGTAAACATGAGGAAATTAAATCTTCATCAGAGTACAAAACAAATTCTGGCCACAAAATAGAGCGAAACACCAACGTCAAAGACCTGGGAGTGATCATGTCGGAGGATCTCACCTTCAAGGACCATAACATTGTATCAATCGCATCTGCTAGAAAAATGACAGGATGGATAATGAGAACCTTCAAAACTAGGGAGGCCAAGCCCATGATGACACTCTTCAGGTCACTTGTTCTATCTAGGCTGGAATATTGCTGCACACTAACAGCACCTTTCAAGGCAGGTGAAATTGCCGACCTAGAAAATGTACAGAGAACCTTCACGGCGCGCATAACGGAGATAAAACACCTCAATTATTGGGAGCGCTTGAGGTTCCTAAACCTGTATTTCCCTGGAACGCAGGAGGGAGAGATACATGATTATATACACCTGGAAAATCCTAGAGGGACTAGTACCGAACTTGCACACGAAAATCACTCACTACGAAAGCAAAAGACTTGGCAGACGATGCACCATCCCCCCAATGAAAAACAGGGGTGTCACTAGCACGTTAAGAGACCATACAATAAGTGTCAGGGGCCCGAGACTGTTCAACTGCCTCCCAGCACACATAAGGGGGATTACCAACAGACCCCTGGCAGTCTTCAAGCTGGCACTGGACAACCCCCCCAAAGTCAGTTCCGGATCAGCCGGGTGTGGCCGTATGTTGGTTTGCGTGCACCCAAGCAACACCCGGTTGTCAGGCTCGGGACACAGGAGGTGGTCCGACGGGCCCGGGGGCGTTGACCCCCGGAACTTCTCCAGGTAAACCCCAGGTAATAGCCAATCTACCTTACAGTGGGTCATTATTGGTTTGCAATCTTATCAAATAAACGGGTCATCCAACTAACCGTGAAAAAAATATGGTCCTGAAATTTTTTAGGTTTCGTTATCATTACGTAAAGCAATTTACCCTTTCCCCCCTCTCTCTTGATATCTGAAATCAAAGAGCGTTTGGGCGGACCGGGACCTTTACCGTTTACAAATCTTTGACGGATTTGCAGCTTTTTTAATCCCGTGCCCGACCCGGGGGCCCAGGGTTATTTGGTGCTTGTTTGGTCAGATAGGCTGTTATTTTTATCGGTCGCTGACTCGCTATCCATCACATCCTTGTGGACCGGCACAAAAAAATTTTTGATCGAATTTCATCTTGAGGACTACATTTCCCCCCAGCAGTTTCTAATCCCTTTTTGGAAAAATGTTTAAATGCGGGAACCAAAAATGATAGATTTTCCCTTTTCCGTGTTCCCAAAAGCGTAGAGCTATTCACTGCGTTTAAAAACATGTTCTCCCAAATCTTCACCCCCATTTTTTGTTATGGCAGTGAGTAATTTGGAATAGCCCTCAATCACCTTCCTTATAAGTAACGACGTCGAAACTATCTTTATTTTCGTGGGGATTGGACACATTTCTTGTAGAAAAATAAAAAAAATGTCATATGTTTGGGGCGTTGAGGTAAATAGCACTTTTTATAGAGTTAATTACTTTTTCAAAAGGGAAAAAATTTGGGAAGTTTAGCCCTGAATAAGTAAACACTGTTTGGGAAAAAGGTTAAATAATTTCCCGCACGAAGATATAAAATTAGTTTTCTATCAAATTCTAGAAGAGAAGAGAGTGAAAAAAGGGGGGAAATGAAAAAAAATATTGTGTTGTCATGCTATAAGGGGCTTTCCCTTGAAGTGACGTGTTGATTTTTTTCCCCCAAAACAAGGGGGTCAGAGGTAGTGATATATAGAACCCCTTTGTTCCGCTTGTTTACTGGGGGGTAGTGGTCGTTCATAGCAAATGGAGGAGCGAGCCTCTGATCCCTTGCGATGAACAACCAAATGATAAACCCAAAAATTTAAAAACGTTTCAAAAACATAATAAAATTAGTTTTTAATCTTTGCCACATTAAAGGTATTTGTAACGCTCAGCTCAAATTACGGGGCACTGATTCATTTCCTGGCAAGGAAATACATGTGGGAAAGGGCTTCCTTTAACTTGCTCTCGTTGTTCACCTAAGGGGATATAGGAACTGGGTGTTAGTTTACTATAAGGTTGCATCCAAGGGGATGATACTCTTTTTCATAGGGGTTGGGGATTTAAAATTTTTAGATATAGGATAACTGATTTACGTATAAAAAAACTTGGGAAAAAAAATACCCCCCCTCCCATTCTATCTCTTTTCTTAAATAATTTTTACTTGTCCCATCCATGATCTAAAAATTAAGATCTGATGTGCCAATTAAACATTTTTAAATTATTTAAATTAGCTGTTTTGTTTTTCTATAAAGTTTGTTTTTAGCGTGATTTTATCTCGCTAGGTTCTTACGTACGCATTTCACAATGTTGCAATGAAACTTGGTCAAACATCCGAATCTCCCTAAATAGTTGCAGAGGTTTTGGGGTTGTTTTGGGTCGTCTAACTCAGTTTTTAATGATTGTCACTCCTAGCTCTGTACATGCATGGCTGGGGCACCTAGGGGGCAGCTTTTAATTTCATTAAAAGGGCTTAACAGTCAACTCTGGGAAAGTCCCCGTAGCATATACCAGGCAAAAAAAACAGTTTTTCCAGAAAAAAATTTAAGAGTAACATTTTCTTAAGACAATAACCCCAAAGCCCTTCAGCTACAAATAAGGAACACGGGGCTTTAAAACATGCTGAATGTGTGAAAAACAAAATCGAAGAAAATGACACACAGTCCCCCTCAGTGACACTTTGGGTATGTTGATAAGTTTTTCCCATCAAAATTCAGCGTCCTGCCCGAGCCATTAAAAAGGCCTTTTCAAACCAAATGTTCGATTAGGACCACCACCCGCTTTTCAGTGAAAGAGAAAAAAAGGGTTTAACAAGGCGCTATAACGAATGACCAAATTGTTTCAAATTCACCCCTTAAATAATATTTGAAAGACAAGGGAAAACTTTTTATACCGCTAAGCTTTTATATTAAAGTCTGCATGAAATATGACATTTGTTTATTCTTTTACTATGTGAATCTAATGTTTTCCACAGGATTTTTCTCGACATAAATGTGATTAAAAAAAGACGCTTCCTCCTCCTTTTTTGTTTAAAAACGAAAAGCACAACAGGCTCAAGAAACTCAGAATATTTCAAATAAACATGTTTTGTTTGCTACTGGCGGAGATAAACCGTAAAAAATGGCCAACTTTGACCGCCAAAATGGCGGAAAAATCACCCCGTGACTTTTTAAATTAACACTACAATCGATCAAGAAGTTGAGATAAATTTTAAGCTGGTAAAGGAACAACGACAAGTTTCAGTTCTTTAAAAAAAAAAAAAATGGCTGCAAACAAGTATTACCTTGGCATTTATAGCAGAAATTTGCAGAAAATAGGGACAGAGGGAAAATAAAACTTCTAATACAAGATTTATTCTTCTGTGATAATTTTAAAGGCTGCATCCTATTCAACTGTTCTCTTTGATCATTTGGAGTTATTTAAAAACTTTGGAAAAATGGAAGAAATCATCACAAACCATCATAAAGTAGATCCAAGGGATCTGCTGGGCATTTAGAAGATTATCTATCTCAAATTCAAGGAAGTTGAAGTTATTTTCCAATTATGTTGTTAACTTGTGCATTTTCTATCAAAAGTAAAACAGTTTTAGATAAAAATAAAAAGGTGCAAAATACACTGTTTGATTAAGAAATAGCAATGTGTAGTTAGTGGTTTTATAAAATGAATAATCACTGAGATTCTTCATGCTACTTAATACACAGCACCCCACCTAAATGACAGCAAGGTAGAAAATGCAGAAATATTTTTCACTCCAGGAGAAGGCCGCGCAGACCAACTAACAGACATTAGTACAAATCCCATAATTTCGAAAAGAAAATGGACACAATATCCACTCACTCAGCACCTGGACCAGATTCATGGAATGCCTGTTTATAAAGAAGTGAAAAGTACCACTAGCACGAACCCTCAGTATTCTTGGAGAAAGAGCTTAGAGCTAAGTGAAATCCCGGAGGCCTTAAAGAGTGCAGACATAGCTGCATAAGGGAGGTAGTAGAACACTAGCTAAAAATTACAGACCAGTAGCCCTAACTTCTCACATCATAAAAATCTTCGAAAGAGTGATGAGACGGCAGATTGCAAATTTCATGGACCAGCACAACCAACATAACCCGAACCAGCATGGTTTTAGAGCAGGACGATAATGTCTGTCACAGCTGCTGAACCATTATGACAGAATTACGAAGGCGTTGGAAGATGACCAAAACACAGAGGTGATTTACACAGATTTTGCAAAGGCGTTTGACAAATGTGATCATGGAGTGATAGTGCACAAAATGAGGGCCATGGGCATTACGTGGAAGGTAGGCAGATGAATTTTCGGGTTCCTAACACACAGAACACAAAAAGTAGTAAACAGAGTTAAATCCAGCATCAGCGAGGTAAAAAGCTCATTGCCCCAAGGCACTGTCCTGGCACCTCTGGTGTTTCTCATCTTCGCATCATAGATAAAAACATCTGTCACACTTTTGTATCATTTTCAGATAACACTAAAATAAGCATGAAAGTCACTACAATAGAGGACACTGAAAAATTACGGAAAGACATAAGCAGAGTTTTCCAGTGGGAAGTGGAGAATAACATGACGTTCAATGGTGATAAGTTCCAGCTGCTTAGGTATGGGAAAGGATGAAGAACTCAAAAGGAACACTATATGCAAAACTCAAGAGGGTCACCAAATAGAACGAAAGGAACACCTGGGAATAATTATGTCAGCTGACCTTTCTTTTAAAGACCATAACAAGACAAAGATTACGACAGCCAGGAAGATGACGGGGTAGGTATTGAAAACTTTCAAAACAAGGGAAATAATGTCGACGGTGACACATTTCAAATCGCTAGTGCTCCCTCATTTAAAATATTGCTCAGTGCTGACGGCCCCGTTCAGAGCAGGAGAAATATCAGAGCTGGAACAAATACAGATATCATTTACGGCTCACATTGAGCCAGTAAAGCTCCTCAATTACTGGGAACGCCTTCAAGTTTTGAACACGTACTCATTGGAGCAGAGAGATACATGATAATATATACTTGGAAAATACTCGAAGGCCTGGTCCCAAATCTGCATACTTGGAGTTTACCTGGAGAGAGTTCCGGGGGTCAACGCCCCCGCGGCCCGGTCTGTGCATGATAGCATACTGGAGTGAGAGATATGGGAGGAAGTGCAAAATAAACCCAATGAGGAGCAGGGGTGCGGTGGGGACAACAAGGGAACACTGTATCAACATCCGGGGTCCCAAGCTATTCAACATCTTACCAGAAGATATCAGAAAAACGGCTGGAACAAGTGTAGAAGCCTTCAAGAGGAAACTAGACAAGTATCTTCACCAGGTGCCAGATCAGCCAAACTGTGATGGATATGTGAGGCAGCGGGCTTCCAGCAGCAACAGCATCAGACGAGCCTGACCCATACCCGGGCTCCAAGAGTAGTGAAACTCTCGAAACTCTTCGAAAGTATATCAAAGATACATAGGATTTTTTTTGACGGGGTCAGCAGGTAAGCCACTGCAGGTCTTGATCAAGTGACCAGGATTGTCATTGAATGAGTCATCACATGACTAACAACTCAGCAAAATGTTCTTTTGTTTGTTAGGGGGGAAACTAACGTGACGCAGTCTTAATGATATGATGACACTTGAAAACTGTGTTATAACTATGTAAGTGTTATAACAGATGTTATAACTGTGTCGGTATTATAACAGTTGTCCTCCATCCCTCCCACTGCATGTTATCAGTCTCACTACTATTTTCCAAGTGCTCTTCATATACCGATTTTTTTTATGTCATTGTCGTACATTGTAGCGCATTCAACTTTTTAATTTTTGTTTACCCGAAGAATATCATTCAAAGTAATATTTTTTTTTTATATTTTATTTAGAAAACACAATACATATTTAAATGTATGCTATGCATACGTTACATAAACTAAGACATGTTATCCATTAAAAATGAAACAACAATTCCACGTTCTACACGAAGGCAACCCACACCCGAACATACAGGTGGATTTAATAAATTCATAAATACTACCTATATAATCCAAAGAATATCACACGTATTTACAAGGACGTATAAGTGATTAATAATAAGAACTATACTGGATATTAACAAAAATTCCTCTACCACACAATCCCAGTACTTAAATAAACCGTTACCCGTAGGTGTATTACCACCATTTACACATCCAACAACATGACCTACCAAACCCCCTTTTAACAATAATTAATAATGCCAGTGCATACAAAAAATATATGCATGCACCGTTTTGAGAAAAAACCCTTAAGTAACCTAACAATCACGGTATGCCCTTACCTCATTAAACCTTAATGAGAATTACAGAATTTGGTTATGCATAAACCACAACAAAAATATAAAAGTACAATGCAACCCAGATATGTACATTATGTTACCATACACACACACTTGTATAATTGGAAGAATATACACCCACAACATCTAATATCAATAATAATAAAACAACAAAGAAATTCAAACTGTCAGAACATCATTGTATGACATGGATTTTACACAAAATTAAAGAATACACTTCATGTTACCTCAACTTTAAACAACCTATGTAAATGTTTAATATAAACCAAGACTATAATTATCATTGAAACATATCAAATGGGTTCTCCCCTCACAAGGACGGGGCAAATAATAAAAATAGGATTGACCTCATCGCTCTAGGGCCGTGAGGTTGTGCTGCGCCTTGCTCCTGCATTCGTCACTCAGCCTTGGTGGAGGACGGACGTTGGCAGTTGAGCTAGCACCTGTTGGTAGCACTGAGTGATTTTCACAAGATGGCGCAGGCTATCAGGCGAAATCTAACTGGTGTTTATGAGGTGTTGAAAGGAGCAGTATATCAAACCAATGCCTCTGTTATGCAGCCTGCATACTACGGGAATAACCTACTGCATCAGCAAAGACGATCTGAATGGTTTGCCATAAATGAGCACAAGGTTAATTTGGTGAAATTTTTGACGGCTGCGACTTATGACACAGATGGTGGAAAAATACCCAGAGGTGTGAATGACGGTTAATCCGGGTCTGGAAGTACGCATGAGGGACGTAATCCAAGTATTATACTTGGTAAAGTTACGGATTCCCATTTGAAGCGGATGAAGAATATATAAAAGCAACATTCAACGAGTAATGGGAGGTTATACATCAGGCAACATTTGGAAGTGGTCTGTTAATATGTATGGTGGACTGCTGAGGGCTCCTTTTCCCCTCAAAATGTCCCTTTGCGCAAATCTAGACCATCATATGGGACTCTGAGTGACATTAGAATACAGTATATGTAACATATGCGGGGCAAAGACGAACCTGTAGACTATGTGGAGCCCTTTGATCATATAGCAGCAATGTGTCCCGTCGATCAACACCTGAGAAAAATGGATAGGGAAAAGGTGTGTGGAAATAGAGAGAGGTGACTAACCAGTCTACAGGGGAGCATCTTCAAGATCAGAGAACAGGAGGAAATCGGGGAAGACAATCCGGAAAGAAGTGTGTAACATTACCGGAGGTGTCCTTCAGGTTATTGATAATATGCGTTTGGAGGATGAGGTGAGTAGAGAGGATCTTTGGTAGTCCGATGTTACGGCTACTATAGATTTAATGTATTCAAGAATTCTTAGTAATCAGAATGAAGGGCGAGGCCACTAAGCCATGGTAGTCAGAAGGGAAACTTATGGTGAGAATAATTGAAAGGTGAGTAATGTGGGTGTTGGGGATAAGCAATTAAACAGGATTAAGTGAGGTTGTGTTGAGTACACATACGTAGATTGTGGAGATGAGGGAATGCTACGTTTATTTTTAGTAAGAGCCATCACGTAAGAGAGAGGCAGGGGGGGGGGGGGGGGCTTCTGATAGTGATGATGTCCTCACACCAGCGCAACGAACGGTGAAGAAACTATCAGTGGATGTAAAAAAAAAATAACAGGGGGGGTAGGAAGGGGCAGAGGATAGGTGAAGCAAAAATTGGCAATGCGATCAGAATGTTCCAGCAAAAACGTAAGGAAGGCAAGGATATCGTTCGATTGGTAAAGAGAGGCCCCCGATAGCATTTTTAAGTGCTAACCTAAATGTTAACGGCCTAAGGGCTGATGTAAAGCGTAAGATATTTAAGTGTTTTTTTAAAGAGACTTGCATACAAGTTGTATTTTACAAGAGCATATTTTCCAGGTATGGAAGGGATTTGTCGGTAGATGGATATAAGTTTATCTGGGGTATACTGGGAAGCTTAAGGGAGGTGCTGCAGTTTTAATAGCTGAGACCCAGTCCGTTCCAATTGTTTTACTTGTAAGAAGGGGAGATGGGAGGTAGCGAGGGTGGATGGACATGGGGTGGGGACGTGTGTGTTTTTGTGATGTATACATGCCGGCGGACAGTAATAGACGTGTTAAAAAGAATATGGTAAGGGACACACTAATTTATCATATGCTGGGGGTTTACCTGTTTATTTCATTATTTGGAGGGGATTGGAATATAGTGTGATACGTAGAAAAGATGTGGAGCCGGAGGGATGCAGGGTTGTGTTCTGGGGTTTCTACGAATGTTTTTTTTAGGGGAGTGTTGGCTTAACGGATGTTGTGGGGGGGAGGGGTGGAACGTGGAGCATACATATGTGAGGAGAGGATACTCTCCACGACTAGATCCGTATTTATGCTTCTCCTGGGTTTTACAGGTGCTACTACAGAAACTATAAAGTAGTGTTTTCAGATCAAGAGGATGGTCGTGGATGTGGGATGGGGAGGTTTTACCCAAAGCGTTACATGAGTTTATGAAACTTAATGTGAGATTGTTAGACGAGCAGGAAGACGTTGAAAGTTTGTGAGTGGGGAACAAAGAGTGGAACAAGGGGAAAAAGGAGTGATATTCCTACGATGGTTTGGAGGAAATTTGCCAAAAACCAGGAGATCAAAAATTTTTTTTTTATAATGAGGAAAGGAAAGGAGGTAAGTCAATGGAAATATGGCTTTACAGAGATATTTGAAGGGCTGCTGAAACAGTGCTATAAGGTTTTAGTGGGGTTTATCCAGTACAAGAGATGTTGAGGTCATCAAAGCGCAAATTAATGGAAATGCAGAATGCAAGAATTTTGATGGTGAGAGAATGAGTGGTGATTGGAAGATGTTTTTATGGGAGATAAGCCATCTGCCTGTGTTTTGCGGGCGATTAAAGACGCGACAGAATACAATGATATGATGAAATTTGGACGTACATACGGTGTGGGGAGGTTATACGACGGGATCAGAGGTTAGTAACTACGGAAAGTATGAGTGGTTATGCTGATAAGTGGTTTGAAGATATATATAGAGGGGGAAACAGAAAGATAGCGGATATGAAGATTTTAGAGAAGTTGATACAGAGCAACCTAGAGTCAGCAGATAGAGCGATGATAGAAGGGCCTATAGATGAAGAGGAAGTGTGGACGGCATTAAAAGGGATGAGTGTCGGGAAAGCACCTGGGATAGATGGAATCCCAAATGAATTTTAATTTGAGAAAACTGGGATTAATGAAGGAATTCTTGGTGCAGTTGATGAATGTAATGAAGGAAAAGGAACATGAGTCAACACAAAGGACAGGTGTAGTAGTTAGGTTCCAAAGGGGGAAATTTACAGAATAGCATCCTAGATTATAGAGGTTTATCATTAATGTGCGGGGATTATAAATTGTTTGCCAGGGTGTTAGGTAATAGATTGCGTAAAGTAATTGGGAAGGTTATAGATGGGGGGACAGATGGGTGTGCCGGGGAGCAATGTTTAGTGGGCATGGGAGGATAAAAGGTTTATAGAGGAGCGTAGGATGGATGGTGAGGTGTTCTTGCTTTGGGAAATTGGAAGGCGGTTTATGATTGTGTAGAGAGAGAGACATTATGGATGATTATGAGGAAGATTGGGTTTGGTGAGGAAATCGTGCAGTGGGCGGAAACTTTATATAGAGGTGCAGAAATACGAGTGCAAATTAATGGAAGGGTGGGGAAGATGGTTAGTATGGGTAGGGGGCTGAGGAGGGATGCCCCATGTCTCAGATCCTATTTGCATGTCTGCAAGCCCCATTATATAGGTTGATAAAGGGTTGGTGTAAGTGAGGGAGAGGTAAGATTTGGGGTGCTACGGTATAGTTGGCTATGTAGATGACACGACGGTCTTAGGGGGGGAGAGGAGGGGTTAAAAATGTAAGTAGAATTGTTGAAATATTTAGTGGAGCAACAGGTATGAATGTTAATAGTGAGAATTCGAAATTACTGGAGGTGGGTTTATGGGTTGGGAGGGGGAACTGGGAAAAAGTTTGGATGGCAGGTAGTAGAGCATTAAAAATTTTGTGGAGTATTTTACAGAGGGGCAGCGCAGGAGACTCGAGAGGCAAATTCTAAAAGGGTATGCAAAGAGTATTTCTTAGGTTAGGGGGAATAAGAACGAGTGGTTTAACTAACAACAGAGAGTCATTGGGAGTTAATACACTCATTTATCCTAAATTGTGGCACGTGGCTGTGGTGTACCCATTGATGGTGAAAGATGTGCGGCAAAATGCAAAGGAAAGTACTGAATTTTATATGGGGATATGGTTGGGCATTGGCTGAGGCAAACGGTTGTAAATGACACCGGGTGGCAAAAGGGGGTTTTAGGTTTAATTCCTTTGGGGGAGCAACTGAAGAGCATTACGTAAGCATTGTATCTGAGATTGGGCGGGGAACGTGGTGTCAGAGTGAGAAAAGTGATGGAAGATGTGAGGCGTGGTGGGGGGGGGGAGGGAATTAGAGGAGTGTATGAGTATGTTGGGGATACTTATTACAGGTAAGAAAGCGGAAAATGTAACGGCGTGTGTTTTTGGGAGGTTGGAAAGGGGTTTAAGAGGTTTTTTGGAAGGAGACAGTTTTTCCATTTATAATTGGACACGAAAATTTGGGGAGACTTCAGTAAGTTACGGGGGAAGTCAAGGGTGAAGGAAACTATGTATAGGTTTTTACATGGGATTTTGCCAACTAAAGTACGACTGTATCAGATGGGAATTTTGAAGTCTCAATGTGTTTTTTTGGGGTGGGGGGGAGGAAAAAAGCATATCATGTGGTGTATTTCTGTGAGCAGATCGAGCGGGCACGTCTATGGTTACGAAGAGTGTTGGATATGGTGGGTGGGAGTGGTTAGTGGTATTTAAAGGGGACTGAGTTTGGATATAGAGGGAGTGGGAGATAGTGTGAGGAGGCCGTCATGTATTTAGTGGGAGATTAAGTCTATATATCGTGGGTGATGAGGAAGTGGGGGGGAGGAAGAAATAAGGCTTTAGCAGGACACTTCTATAGAACAAAGTGTATAAAATGAGGTAGTGTATGGATGTAGATGGGCCAGAGATTTCCGGTATCGTATAGAGGTATGACTTGAGAGGGTTGCGCGCAATTAGTGTCGTAATGGTGGGTGGACTGGTCTCTGTAAAAGGGGGGGGGGTAAAATGAATTTTTATGGATATAGAATATCATGATTATTTAAACATTAGTTTCCTGAGAAGCAAGAGGCGGCTTACCAATCGATTAGGGGCTATAATGTTGTATTATTAACCATAGTGCGTGAAAAGAGCAAGTCTAAAAATGGCTCTGAAACATGTCATTAAAACATCTAGAA